ATAAAAACTATAGTATCTCAATGATACTAAAATAACAGTGTAGCATCAATGAGCAACTGATTATGAATGCAAAATTGATTAGTTTGGAAGTAATAAATGTGTAACATGATATGTTTTGAACTCAAGAGATTTTTTAAGCATGTTCACAACACATAACTCAACTTCGACAAAGCACAGAATTATTGTACTGGAAGAGAGTTTCAATCACCTGAAGGTGAGAAATGGTTATAAAATAGTAAATAATACGTTACTTTCCACATGTTTAATGTAATTTGTGACTTAATGCAAATATAATCCTCCAACACTATTTGTAATCATCATCTGCGCTGAAAATCTGCTGCAACGCTCCTTCTCTAGGGCATTGACCTGGCAGGAAAAGGTAGGACGAGTCTTGGAGAGTGAACCTGCTGCTCTCCCAATGTTTTTACACTCAACACAGGCCTCAAGTCTCTCAGTCCTCTGACCTCTCTGCGATTGTGTAACTAAACGCAGGCGATAAAGGAAACCTAAGGTTGACTTATTGTGCCTTCTCTCCTGCATTTCTGCTTCACAGATGTGAGAGAAAGCGGTTTTATTGTTCAAAAGCGAAGAGAGATACAAAATTCAAGCTGGCAAGCAGCGAGTCATCTAAACGGCTGTGACCGAGCTCTTGCTTACATCTGAATGATTAAGTGCATAGTTGTAAACAGTCCCTGAACCCACTCCCCCTCATGTAACCACACATCTGCCTAAGCACCCATTTTTATTTACTTGAAATTTAACTGTGCTGAAAAGTACTGTAGTGCCACAGTAGTACCATGTTACAGTGATTCTAATGGACACATACATGATTACACTTTGATATTTACCATGGTAATGAATGATTGTCATATTTAACTAATAGTTTTCACATGACATGACAGACGTATAGGAACACCCACCTGGAGGGCTAAAACAAGGCTTTCTTCCATTGCCTGCCAGTCATTTTACTAATATAAAAGTACTAATGTAGTAAGACAGTGATATTAAAAGACCAAATTCAATGCACGCATTATTGATGATACATACTATGTAGAGACAAGCAGATAAACTCAGAATATAAATGCAATGTGCAGTTTCTTGTTAAGCATTTTTTAAAATAGAAAACACCATTTGTAACATACCATTGGAGAAGACCGTAGTTCTGGGGGTCACATCCAGGTCTAGCGGGGGTCTGAAGGGGTAACCCCATAGAGTGGACACAATACACAGCAGGAAAAGCAGCCATGCACTATGGGTCATCATCTTCAGTCTGACCAGGAGGGGTCAGTACCACAAGACCACCACCCACCCCCTTATAAGGGAGCAGGAAGTCACTCACGACGTCTCTGAAGTCTCTTTCCTCAGGTGTGCACAAATGCTGTTGTTTTACTTAAAAGCAGAACAGCTGTCCTTCCCTCAAGCGGTTCACTCTGCAAAACAAGAAAAAACAAGATGGTTAAAATGTCTAGTCAGTGCTGATGTCATAGTTAAGCGGACAGGTGATCAGGTGAAGCGTGTGCACTGACGCTGTAGTTAAATCAGGTTTCTCAAATAACACAATGCAACTGTGGTTCCCTGCCCATATCGCCTAAGGACAACTTACTATCAAGATTCTCATGTTTGCATGGAACAAAGGAACGTGGGCATGTTAAAAGGAAACCAGTGCACCCTGTGGCACTCAAAGGTTGCCTTAATAGAAATGAAGTCTTCTTTTCAAATTTAAAAAAGCCTGAGTGACACATGCACAAAGCACATGGACACCCAGAGACACGTCAAGCGAAGATCAAAGGCTTTATTGGATGCATCACCGCGTCCAATGACACCGACCTTTCAGGCCTTTAATCCTGAGCTCGGTCTGAGGTGACTGTGTTGAATAATAAGCCAGTGATTAAAGTATGACAACTGAATAGTGTGAGTCCTAATCCAAAAGAGCCATGACATTATCCAAATATCACAAACTCAACCAGAGCTCATCTCTGACTTCTCTCACCTTGCATCAAAAGCAGAGTGGCTTAGTATGGAAATGCTCTAGAGTTTTCATGTTCAGAGTTCATGAGAATACTGCAATAAACTGTGTGCGCGGGAGAAATTAAGAGCCAACCACATAACGTCACCTGAACTGTATATTCCAACACAGTTTAGTTTAGTAATAACAAAGACTATATACTATATATATTTTGAATGGGGAATAAGTCCCGCCTACTAAATAAGAGCCAATCGCCGATTGGTAAAGTCATCGTGTCACTGCAGCTGCAGTTAGAAGCTCCGGTTCCAATAGAAACAGTCAGACATGAGCTTCCGCTATGCGCATTAGCTTAATCCAGCCTTAAAAATAAAGTTTTCGGTCATGATTCGAGCGTGTATAAACAACATTTATGAGACAGTTATTGTCAGATTTCATTGGTCATTTCAAATATGAAATTTATTCGTAAACTTGTGGAACAGTTTTGGAGAATTTGATGTTTCCCCATTCAAAGAGATAGAAGCTGCACTTGCATGCCCGAGAGGCGTTTCAAAGATGGGCGCCGAGTGAAATGACTTGTCTTTAAGGGACTTTGCTAATAATGACTTTGTGAATTTCTTCACTGAGAAAATCGAAAGCATCAGAAAAACTATTGTACAATCTTTGGCAGCGTTTTATGATTCAGCCTCATTATTGCCCCTTAAGAACAATTACAGTGCTTTTCAACTATCGGACAGGAAGAGCTAAATAAACTTATCATTGCATCTAAACCAACAACATGTTTATTAGATCAAATACCGACTAAATTACTGAAAGAGTTGTTACCTACAGCAGAAGAGCCTCTTCTCAATATTATTAATAAGCTTTTATCTCTAGGTCATGTCCCAAGACCCTTCAACCTGGCAGTAATTAAGCCTCTCATTAAGAAACATCAACTAAATCCAAATGAATTGTCAAATTACATACCCATTTCAAATCTTCCATTTATGTTTAAAATACTAGAAAAAGTTGTGTCTGCTCAATTGCAAAAAAAGATATTTATGAAAAAATTCAGTCAGGATTCAGGCCCCATCATAGCACAGAAACTGCGCTCGTTAAAATCACAAATGACTTACTTCTAGCTGCATCTTTTACTTGATCAACACTATAGATCATGACATACTCTCAAATGGATTACAAAATTAGACTGGTATTCAGGGACCGTCATTAAGATGGTTTACTTTAGATCATATCTGACCATTACCATTTTGCTTTTTTTAAACGAGGAATGATCCAAGTTAACGTCAGTAAATTATGAAGAGCCGTATGCACCCAGTAATAGGGGTCATCAAGATGACGTGAGTAGTACTAAATGTTGCTCAACTTAGAATAGAATAAAACTACTTTCTGAAAGCCACTAATAGCACTGGAGTTAATGGATCACTGGATCTAATGTACGAACATCAATTTAATAAACATATCTATCAAAACTACTATTAACCTCTTTAGTTCTAAAACATTTTTCTCCATATTGGCACTGTTAACTATCCTCACTACTGTTGGTTCATTAGGCTGTTACTGACCTGTAAGGGCATGGTTGTTACTTAAAAAGGAATAGTCATTGTGTCACAGACACACGAACACACACTCAGTCTGATGTGATTTAGGAGGACAGTGGCCTGAGCATCCAACTGTTCGCCTCCCTTCACCCACTACTCTAACACACTCAATCCCTCTCTTCTGTAAACACTCCAGACTTCTCCCCCTCTCTCAGATAAACACACTCTCTCTCCCTCATTCCATTAAACAAGCTTACGCACCAGATGAGCACTGTTTTCTTTTCCCTCTATCTCCACTTCAGAGAGAACATTCCCAGAGGCTTTCTAGGCCTCCGTATTCTTGTTCATTCAAAACTATTTCACTCCTTTCCTCTCTGTTTAAATGAAACACACAAAACAAACTCTCTCAAACATAACTGCACAGATGTGCTTGAATTCACACCTGCTATAGCACAGGAATCAGCAGCACTGCCAGAGAAGTTCATCGGATCAGCATCCCTCGTTCTGCACTCGACCAACAACAGAACTGTCAAAGAGCTGAAAAAGCTGAAAAGACCCATGCATGCACAATGAAAAAGATGCTTTGATTTCTTAGTTTTTAATGTCATTAAAATAAGTCTCTTATACTCACCAAAGCGGCATTTATTTGATCAAAAATATATTAAATAATGTGAAATATTAATATAATTTAAAATAACAGTCCGCTTTTAATTATATTTCCAAATGTAATTTATTTCTGATGGCAAAGCTGAATTTTCAGCATCATTACTCCAGTCTTCAATGTCACATGATCCTTCAGAAATCATTCTAATGTGCTGATTTGGTGCTGGAGTAACATTTAAATAAATTTAAATAGTTTCAATATTGTAATATAATTGATAAATTCATTAAAAAGTCATAATTTGTACAGTTTAGGCCATATCCATATTTTGCTCAAATCATTTAGATTTTTAAAAAATAATAATCACAAATGATTGATTTTAATAAAGAAATGATTTTTCAACACAGAAATATGCTTTGAAAGGTCTGTGGAAAATTTCCTTCAGGGGCTGATTTATGTCAACAAACAAAGCATTAGCAGATATAACAGAATGTGGTATTAAATATCACTGAATGTTTCAGGAATCAAATAACTTTTCTGCTGAACTGCTCAGAGAACAGTGTGGATTGAAAGATAGTTTGGTCCAAAACTAGAATCCAGTTCAAGTGTAAGAGGTTTATGAATGAAATCCATTACAGGATTATAACTACCATCAGCAGTTTTATTATTCTGCCAATTCAGATGCCCTAGAGAGAATGAGAACTATAAAGAAAGAAAGATAGAATAGGTCAGGCACACGAGGAGCAAGATCTTCCCAGTGGAAAATCTCTTAGCACTAACGCCATAAAAAAGCAAATGAAAGCAAATGAATTGGCGTCCACTGTAGCCCACAGATCAGCACAGTGGTCTTATGCTGTGTGGTCACATCAGACAGAAAGAGATCAGTCGAACACACACTGCTATTTCTTATTCTACAGAGCAGAAGAGATGGGCCAAAGCCAATTCAGAAACAATATAAGATCAGCTGCAAGTTAATTTAAAAATAAAGTGTTGAGTTGTACAACAGGGTACATGGTATCAAGCTGTAGGATGGACCGAATCAAGTGAAAAGAATTGAGCAGCTGCAGAGAGAAAACGATAGCTCTGTTTCTGCAAGCAGCTCAGCTCAACAGTGACTGCATGAGACCCTTCATGCATCTTTAAACAGCTGTCAATCACTTTGAGCACATTTACATCCGAGTCCCCTCTAAAAAGAGAGCAGCACCGACAAGCCCTCTACCTTCATATCATGATTTCATGAATGTAATCGAATGACAACGACGTGCTATATTCCATGCGTTAATGACCTGCAGGGTCTTTGTGAGTGAATGCATAACCAAAATTTAGACATTTAAACACTGCATTTCTTACTTTACAGACTATTGAATTAAATAGCAGTCTAAAACAGCAGACCGGTTGAAGGCCTTTTGAGTGTCTACAAATCTGCCAAATAATCTTCCACAGAAATTCAACAGCACATCCACCATCTAGTTCATCATCACTGAAACATGATCCATCAATATTCTAGCACAAGGCAATGAACGAAGAATAAAAATAAATAAATAAACTTTTCATAGAGGATGGCAGACCAATGAAGCTATAGCCTAAGATATTAGTATAACTAAATCAATGTTTGGCTTATGAATGAGAAATGCATAATTATGAAAGCCGTCTTTTACAAAAATGTTATTCTTGCATGCATGAGACCATGAGGATAAGCAATGATAGTGTCCAATTGTACACTGGGTCATTGACCGGATGCTGAATCACATGAGGGACTGTCTCTTTTTCAGTTGAGAATAAAAAAGACATTCTGTTGAACTATAAAAAGCAGTTAATAGAGAAGAAAAATCATATGGCAGTATGCAACAAATCCTTCTCTAAAGGCGTCTTTGCACAGCTGAGTTATAGCTGATCTGAGCAGCTCTGTATCTGCCTCAAATTCAGCTTAAAGAAACAATACCACATAAATGCATAGTAAAAATGCAGCTTTGACCCACATCAGCCCCTATAGTATCACTGACGGCTCTGATGCTGCTTTGTGTCTGTGTAAAATGATGCAGCTTTAAACTTTGTTGATTTTGTTATAAGATCAGCAATGCTTCAGCATAAGATTCAGCATTAAACGCTATAGACTTTCTGAATTATGTGTCAATTATGTGTTTTTATATTTATGAAGCAATTATTAGATATTTAAATTTGTTATATTCTTGACAAGTACATTCTGCTACTGGTGTGTCGCTAAAAAAAACTTTCTTCTCCCAGATGCCATTTAAATTGGACAGTTAAATGTGTTTGTGCCAGGAAAACTGCCCAGAAAATACTCACTGTCAGGCGAGTAATACTTTGTGCATTAATCTGAATAAACGCAGACATGTCCACATCTTTCTGGCACGCTTTCACATCACGTACCAGTAGCCTATCTCTCAGTCATATGCCCTTTAACAGAGTTTAATGGTTAACTTTTAATGAACTGGTCTTTGTCAGAAATATTTTACATTGTATGGCAAGCTATTCTCACATGTATTCCCAGAAATAAACTATTTATCGCTAAAAGCGATACATAAATCTATTTTTATGTCACTAGTGTAACTATTCACTTCCTACTACATTTCCAAATGTAGCTTTTTCCTATTCTGCTTTCTCTTGTAGTATACTTGCAACCATTTGCTAGCTCTGAATACTTTACTAGTCACATTACCAATACTTACAAGTGAGTATTACATTTTTTACTGGTAACAAATCCGGTGGAGATATGGTTCCGATATTGACTATTCTAAGTGCTCTTGGCACATATTTTAGTTTTGTATGTTTTACCATTTTTTTTTAGTTTTACCATTACTTGTTTCTTATAGTTACCAATATATATATATATATATTGGTATATACACATATCCCACAAATCCCAATAGTGATACACATATCCCAATAGTTTCTAGTGTATTAGAACTTTAGAGTCTGACTGTTACGAGTAACATTTTTATCTCAGCAGTTAATTGTTTTACTTAGTATTAGTGTATTAAAGAGCGCGCTAAAAACTCATTTGTTTTCATTAGCATTTGAAAATGTTTAGGAATTTGCTGTTTGTTGTTGTTTGGTATATGTTTTATTTGTTCTAAGTTTTTTATTATTTTATTTATTCTTTCTGTACAGCACTTTGGTTTCCACATTGTGGTGTTAAAAGTGCTTTATAAATAAAGTTTGAGTTGAGTTATATGAAATGACTAGTCAGACTGGTAGTTCAATCAAAAAACCTAACTAGCAAGAATAAAATAATAACAATTTGAATACCCAGTATTGTCTAATAAATAGTTATTAGTGTCTGTCCAAGTATTAGGAAGACTATAATACTAGTAAATATTTGAGTAGTTACAAAAAATAGAAAATAGTACTTGTCATTACTGACTAATTTAAAACTAGTAAAACAGAAAAGGGTGCAATTGGATTTCTTCCTAATAATTAAGCACTAGTAAAACAATTCTTTTTAAGGAATAAATGTTAAAGCGGCTTGCCATACCTTTCGTCTGTGTGAAATTATAATTTTCAGCTTTTACGTGTCGTCTATATGATGTTGTCTTCACTCAACAACATGTAAGAGACTTCATACTGATCTGTCGGAAAGAACTTCACTTTCGTGCGAAGCTCACCTTAAGGTACAGACGTGCATTATCGACAACAAATATCACAAAAAGAAAAAGTGTATAGTATCAAAGTGGTCTACTTACTGAAATGCTTTTCGTCACAAACCGTCCAAAAACGCAGGAAAGTCGGCTAGTAGTTACTGTAAAGCCGAGTAATGTGAGATGAGAAAGAGCAGAGGCGCAGAATGAACTCAGTCTTTGCTGAGCGTGCCCGCGCGCGAGCCTCGTCACTCGTCACAGGTAGATACTGTACGCCCTCCTGCGACACCATCTCACATACGCTCGAACAAACATATTGGGGGGAAAAACATTTGGGCTACCGCATTCCTTCGCTATCTATTGGACAAAGCACGCTTACACAATTATTATAATAAACAAAGAGCACTGTTAAAACATGCACACTGTGTTGAAGATGTTGTTGCAAAACAGATCAAAGAACATGATAGACTGATACTCACCACAAAATTGTGAATATCCATGAAAGAAGCATGCCTTCTTTTTTAAAATCATACGTGTTGCTCCGTGAACACCACCATTTGGAAGAGACGAACAATGCAAGACTATGATGTAAACACTTGTAAGACCAGGCTGGTCTTTAGTGTGAGTGGAAACACACAGACCCTCTTTTTTATCGGAAGTATTTATTTTCATAAAAAATAACCAAAGGATTTGATATCTTTTTAAGAAATACAGCCTTTTTAAATAATTAATCCTTATGATAAACATCACTGTGAATTTTTTCTTTTTTTGAGGAAGACTGGATTGCCAACAACAACAAATAATAAAAAATACACTATATCCACTATACCTAATGGGATGCTTAAACATCCAGAAACCTACAGAAAAGGTTGACAATGATTTAAGCCCTTGCTTTTGCTGTTATATTGTCTGGATAAAGATACCCCAGGTTTTTGGCAAACTAAAAAAATTAATGGAATAGATTACACAGCAGCATAAAGAGCAGATCCTAATAACTACCAGTGTGCACATTAACCTAATAGATGTTACGTTTCAACAAATGAAATATATGTAAATAAAAAATGTTTAAGGTCTCGTTTTCAGAGAAACCAGGGCCAAACATTTATTAATAGACCTTATTTCTTAAAAGAGATGAACCTTGTAAAAACAATATACTCAGAATATATATTATAAACAAGATGTAAACAACTATAAGCATCACGTGTCACTGAAAGACTATTCGTTAATGGAAAAATCCTTAAATAATGTGCATATGAATTGAGGGCAACAAAAGTGTGGTGTAAGATTCTAACATGACCTGAGAATGTTTCAACTATTCTTTCTCAAGACTCCTCCGAATCCAAATACATCCCCTCTCAAATCCCTTCCTCCATTCCCTCTTTCATCTCTAACAGCTCCTTATCTTTCTCTAACAAGTCCTCAAGCTCCTCTAATGCCTCATTGTTTTCTTCTACAGGTATATGCTTTCGGACTTCTTCATGAGGCTCTTCATCTTTAAGAAGCTCCTCCTCTCGTTTCATGAGATCATCGTCGTCGTCATTCTCTAAGTCTTCGTGACTTTCAAACAGTTTTTCATCGGATATTTCTTCCAACTTTGCATCACCTAGCTCCATCAGCTGTTGCTTTGGCTCTTCACTTTTCTCCTCTACATCGCTGATGTCCTCCACACAATTTTCATTGCCTCGTTCCATCTTCTCCTCACACTCTTTTGGCAAGTCCTCATCTCCCTTTTTGCTCTCAGCATCTTCGTCTGACTCTGTACTGCTCCACTCCGCGGTCAGAGTTTCTTCTGTACTCACTGAAGTGTCTTGTGCTTTGATGCAGGACTGGCCCTGAGGACTGCTGGGCACCTCATCCTCTGGTGGGGGCTTCCAATAATCATACAGCTTTCCCTATGAATTACACAAGAGATAATTCACACAAAAATGAAAATGCAGTCATTATTTACTCACCCTTAACTGTCGTCCCAAACCTGTATGACTTTCTTTCTTCCATGCAACACGGAAGGAAAACATTGGTAGAACATTCTGGCTTATTTTTTCCCATTCAATTAACAGTATGATAAAAGTAGTGCATATGAAAACTATATTCTTAGTGGCCATTCATACAGAAAGCGTTTTTGCGTTTAAAAAGCGAGATGCAAGGTTTAGAGACACGTTTTTAAAAGCTACTTTTTTTACTTGAATGCTACATTTTTAGGATGCAGTGTCATGAACAGGATGCTGTAAAAGACACCAACACAACAGTCAAACATATCTGTCAAGCACATGTTTGTATAGAAAAACAAACAAAAAGCAAAGCAGTGGAATTCAAAAACACGTTCTGCGTGTACAGCAGCTTTTCATCTGATGTCAAAGTTCAAGTTTTTCAAAGCCATCCAATAGCTTTGTATGATTTTCACTGAATATCTTGACATTAGCTTCACCATCAACCAGATTCTATTTATAAATAGCTTATAATTTGCGATCAACTGATTTATTGAACACACAGATTTTCATCTAATTCTGTTCCTCCCACAAAGCCATCATATTGTAAGAAAATAGAACAAAAGTCATATGGACCAATTTTATGATCATTTTTTGCTGCTTTTGCTAGTTTTTTTTTTTTTTTCAAGCTTGAAGAGCGACCAGGACATTCTTAAAAAAAATCTCCTTTTGTGTTATAGAAAAAATATAGTAATTAGGTTTAGGAAAAACATAAGGGTGAGTCAATAACAGGACTTCTATTTTAAGTGAACTATTCTTGGTAATGCATGACCATTAAAATGACATCACTGACACAACAAATTCCTCAATCGTCAAACAATGTCACTAATTCTTCCAGACTGACATTTTAGCTGAAGTCTCCTGCTGCTTGAATTATGAAAACACATGTGAGCAAAATGTTGCCTTCACAGCCAGCTAAAAGTAATAACAGCTTTCATCTGCATCAGTTGCCTGTATTCTTTCACATTACCTCCTGAGGCCTTGTTCGTCTGAGAAGCACCTGCCACTTTGTGTATATTCTTGCCACAAAGTCTTTCACCTACAGAAGACAAAAAAAAACAAAAAAACACTGCCAATAAAAATTTGAATTCCTTTGATATCAGCAGAATAAGGGATTCTCAGAGAACAGAATAAAGCTGCTCTTCACCTTGCTTCTGTACAGCATTTTCTCGCTCTCCCTTATGTCACACTTAATGTGCTTCTCCAGCTGAGAAGAAAGACTCCGCAGATCATTCTGGCAGTGAAAGAGGGCTAAAGTTAGTCCAATTAAGAAAACAGACAAGACTAAGACTAAGGCACAGTCAGATGTGCTTTACTTCATTTAAACAATATTGAGATAATAAATTAAGAGTCAAAACTATATGTTGGGATAATATTGCTGGCTATTTTAAGACTCCTAAATATTCAACTCTTGACATTCTATAGTCAAATATTTTTGTATAATGACATTTGCATAATAACACTGACAACCACTTTCCTACACTTTCAGTTCCATGTCTCCCGTAGCACTCCATCTCATCTTACAAAATCAAACAGTTTCAAATGAAATCAATATACTATATTATTTAGTAAGCAGCTGTGTAATAAGATAATGGACAGTCAGCCCCTTAAGGATGATACAAGATCAAACCAGTTCTGCTCACCCTGTCGGGTTTATTTCACCATAATGACCATCTAACTATACATTGTCTCTCATTTAATAATGTTAGTGCATTTATAAATGAAAATTATAATACATCATTATTCCTTGTCTTCATGTAGTGACCTTGATATTATTTAACAATTTTGACTGTATTACTGTTTTTAAACATGAAAAGAACAGGATTTTAATCATCCTGTTTTTTAACACAAGTACACTGTAGTGTGCGTCCTGTAAAAAAACAACCCGTTTATCTCTAATTACTTAGCAACAATTACTTTTGAAATGTTGGTTCATCTGTTTTATTTTTCATCTAGTAAAGCAATTTAAGAGAAAACATGCAAATATTGACATATACTGTATTGAATATTGTCAAAAGTCTGAAAATTAATAATTGAGACCGATCTTATTCAAGATGTAATGAGAAATGCTTTTTAAAAAAGAGACCTGGAAAGAAAGGCAGTAAATACACTCATGCATACTGAACCACACCCCTCCAAACATCCATTCTAGTCAGTAAAATCATCCCTCACTTCAATTCACACAACTCTTTTCTCTTTAGAGAGTAAAATAAGTTATATTCATAATTGGTCCCTGAGGGTGAGAGTGGTACCAGAAGACAGAGTAGGGCTGTGTCCACTGACAGGGTCTTTCTGTGACTGATTCATTAACACTGCTCCTTTATGAGTGCACTGTAAAATAAGGTTGGGGGGGGGATCTATTCACAGACGCATCACGATTCTTCTGGATCGATCCAGAAACAAAAATCTGATTTCTAAACCCATTATTAATAATTCTGATGGATGGAAAAGTATATTTAAAACCAAACATGAAAGCGGCACAACAACGAAAATTAAGATACATAGAGAACTGTTTTGGAATTGGATTTTATCTCCCTGAAATTGAATCAAATTGTGCAGATGGCTCCCTTACTATAAAATGGTATAAAAACAGAAATTGGACACTTACTCTCTGGGTTGAGGGTAAAAACTCAAAATTGGAGGCTTCATTTGTCAAAGTCAAAAGGCTGTAGCAGAGGTAATATGCCTGTATGAAAGAAGATCATTTATCAGCTTATTAAACTAAGTGGTTTCACTATATCACTCTTAGATATTAAAAAAGTAATGATCCAATAGCTCTCAGCCTTTAGATGACTTCCTGCTCACTTGTTGGTCTAGAGTGGCATCACAGTCCTCTGCTCTCCTTGCAGACCTGAGGACTTTCAGTAGGGATGAGGGACGCATTTGAGGTAGGAAAGGTTTCAGCTCAGATAGCTGGAAAAATACATTGTAAGAAACAAAGATGAGTCAATCTCATTACTTCAAAAATGAAAGAAGTTTGACAAAAGCATGGCCTGCCAAGTGTAGTTGGTGAATGATACATCTGCATAATTCCACCTATCACGAATCATTAAAGCATCTATAGACCATTTGGGTGTTTGGATCTATAGAGCAAAACTGTCTGAACATTGAAAAGCTGCTAATATTCGATGGATTATTCTCACCGTAAACTCTGTGCCTGAGAGTTTGTAAGTGCAGGTGTGATTCAATAGCTTTGAGATGATAGACACACTTAGGTGCCGTTTTAATTGCCTGTTGATGAAACAGTAGATGAAAAATTACAGAAAGCTCTTACAGTAAATGCTGATTCACCTAATTATCTCTATGGTCTACATTAAAAAGTCTACAAGTAGAATAAATATTCATTTTGCATTCACTCACTTTCCACGAGTGCTATCTGGCAGAAGATAAACGAGTCTCCTGAGGTTGTGATGATCATCTGACAAATCAGTCAGAATCTGGCAAGCTTTAGATATCTACACATTTAAAAAAGAGAGAGAAAGCGAGAATGTGAGAAAATGAACTGACACTTTTAAAAATCTGTCATCATTTTCTGTTTTAACTTTGAATATTCGGAACACAAAATAAGTACTGACTTTTATTAATTATATAATGACTGCATTTCAGGATCCAAAATGAAAATTGCTTGGAACGGCAGAGGGAGAGTAAATGATGACAGAATGTTTTATTTTTGGGATAACTGGTGAATTTTTAACACTGTTTCTGACCTGTACATCCCAGTTTGTGATGTTTTTGAGCAGATTCTGAAGCAGGAGGCTGAAGTCTCCAGTTGGTAGCAGCTGAAAATGAGTCTCCAGTCCAATTCTACACACCACCGCCAGAAGCAACAGCAGCTCCTCGTCAGTGTACGCTCTCGGACACAGCGCAGTACACAGAGAGAGGTACTGAACGGATAAAATAAAAATAATACAAACAATATTGATAATGACATTCCATTTAAAGCTATTTTAGCATTAAACAAACTGATGTTAAAACATTTCTTCAAATATTCAGCTTACCTTGAGAACACTCTCTAAATTATGCATTGGTAAAGTGGCACTGTCTTTCATGTCAGATATCACTCTGTCTTGGCTGGTGTCTTCTGGCTGAAAGGCCTCTCTGCCAAAACATACAAATCAGTTAAAAATGCAGACTTAGCATTATTATGAAGCTTTTTCTAATCGTGACTTATGTCTAATATTTGAAAGACCAAAACATAATAGTACTACAAAAGTTATAATGCTGCAGAAAGATAGAAAGGTATATAAAAAAAAAAACTCACAAAAAGTCTCCCTCATTAAAAGGGGGTTGAAGGGCCTCCAGAGGGAAGAGACTGATGAACGACGCCCCCATGTTCAGGAAAACCAGAGTGATGTCCCGTATAGAGGGTTCCCACACTTTGAAACTTTGGTTGTGGTGTTCAACTACAACACAACAGTCAAATTTACTACTTTATAACTTGTACAGGTATAGCACAGTTGGCCATTATGAGGTATTTTGAGCGTACCGATGTGTTGAGCAGCTGACAGAGCAATGTTTTGCAGGGACTGCAGGATCAATGAGGATATGACAGGGTTTGGGTGAACTGACATCATCTGGAAAAAAAAAAAACATAAATCTATACATAAATTTCCATCAGATAATTGCCAGTTAAAGTGCCTGTTGTTTATAATTATGAAAATTATACACTTTAGTTTAGGGTCCAATTCTCACTATTAACTAGTTGCTTATGAGCATGCATATTACTAGGATATTGGCTGTTTATTAGTACTTATAAAGCACATAATAATGCCTTATTTTGCATGATCATATTCTACATCCCTTAATCCACCCAATACCTAAACTTAACAACTACGTTATTAACTATTAATAAGCAGTAATTAGGAGTTTATTAAGGCAAAAGTTGTAGTGAATAGTGAGAATTGGACCCTAATCTAAAATGATCTGAATTCTATTAGATTGTATTTATTGAATTGATGTTGTATCTTTTGTAAGATACGAGTTGAGTCTGCAAATTTGAATGCATGTTGGAGTCCTACAAGCATAAGCTCTCAGGAAAGTAACCTGACTGTAATGTATACGTTTTGACAGGTTTAAACGTAAATGTCCTAAGGTTATGCAGGTTTCCCATGAGAGAATAGAAGCAGGCATTGACCAAACAAAATGAAACTCATTTTATAACTCAAGTCAGATGTATATCATGGGAACAGCATGCCCTAAAACTGCAATAAATATAACAATACAAAATGAAAGCTGCAAATAAATATATGACCTAATACAGCTTATAAAAAAAAAACTGATCAACAGATCAAAAAAAGCTCAAAAACATTTACACATTCTGCATACATGCAGACAAAACATACAGTGTCCCCAAAAAGTATTAGATTACAAAATATAAAGTAGCATTTTTAAGCGTAGTTTAAGTTTTTTTGGGCCACTATACATACTTCCAGATGTTACTGACTAAGCATACAGTGTTTTGTAGGACAGAAAATATGAGGAAAGAGGATGATTTTACCTGGAAAAGCCAGCGTGTAACCTCAGGCTGACAAGGGAAAGAAAAATAGGCTTTCCTCAACAAGCCAGCACTGATCAGAGACAACACATGTTCAGTACGGGCCCTATAGAAAAAGAATCAAAACATTCATATAGCAAGCAGAACTTAAGCCTCTCTTTCATTTTATTCCCTTTTCACACAAATAATAATAAATACTCATTCTTTGAGAAGTGAACACACTGACAAACTGATATTGAGTTTAACGGTGTCTGATTAGTAACAATGGCAAATTACAGATCTCAACAGAAGGAATAAATAAATTTGTTAATTTTCCGCATTTCAAAAATTAGCACATTTTGATATTTTTAACACCTTTTTAAATGGTATCATACAAGCAAGAGAAAACTGGATATGACTTGTGTTCGAGTAGTGTCAAATTATTGCCAGTCTTACTGAAGGAGGATTTGTTGTGATCTGTTGTGTGGAGTCACGCTAATCTTCCTCAGGTCCAGCGTCTGGTGGTTGAAGAGTCGACCAAACTTAGCAGGTGTGAATACTTCCTCTCCTGGGTGGATGTCCCTGATGGCACTTGAGGCGACCGAGAACTTTTGCAAAAATTCCCTAAAAATTCAACAAAAATTATTCACAGATTGATAATTATCCAAGAGGCTGACAATATTCTACATAACACTGCAGCATACATATTCAAACTATATTCATGCACATTTACACACACACACACCATATATACAGGTCCTTCTAAAAAAATTAGCATATTGTGATAAAGGTCATTATTTTCCATAATGTAATGATAAAAATTAAACTTTCATATATTTTAGATTCATTGCACACCAACTGAAATATTTCAGGTCTTTTATTGTTTTAATACTGATGATTTTGGCTTACAGCTCATGAAAACCCAAAATTCCTGTCTCAAAAAATTAGCATATCATGAAAAGGGTCTCTAAACGAGCTATTAACCTAATCATCTGAATCAACTAATTAACTCTAAACACCTGCAAAAGATTCCTGAGGCTTTTAAAAACTCCCAGCCTGTTTCATTACTCAAAACCGCAATCATGGGTAAGACTGCTGACCTGACCGCTGTCCAGAAGGCCATCATTGACACCCTCAAGCAAGAGGGTAAGACAGAAAGAAATTTCTGAACAAATAGGCTGTTCCCAGAGTGCTGTATCAAGGCACCTCAGTGGGAAGTCTGTGGGAAGGAAAAAGTGTGGCAAAAAACGCTGCACAACGAGAAGAGGTGACCGGACCCTGAGGAAGATTGTGGAGAAGGACCGATTCCAGACCTTGGGGGACCTGCGGAAGCAGTGGACTGAGTCTGGAGTAGAAACATCCAGAGCCACCGTGCACAGGCGTGTGCAGGAAATGGGCTACAGGTGCCGCATTCCCCAGGTCAAGCCACTTTTGAACCAGAAACAGCGGCAGAAGCGTCTGACCTGGGCTACAGAGAAGCAGCACTGGACTGTTGCTCAGTTTTGCATGTCATTCGGAAATCAAGGTGCCAGAGTCTGGAGGAAGACTGGGGAGAAGGAAATGCCAAAATGCCTGAAGTCCAGTGTCAAGTACCCACAGTCAGTGATGGTCTGGGGTGCCATGTCAGCTGCTGGTGTTGGTGCACTGTGTTTTATCAAGGGCAGGGTCAATGCAGCTAGCTATCAGGAGATTTTGGAGCACTTCATGCTTCCATCTGCTGAAAAGCTTTATGGAGATGAAGATTTCATTTTTCAGCACGACCTGGCACCTGCTCACAGTGCCAAAACCACTGGTAAATGGTTTACTGACCATGGTATTACTGTGCTCAATTGGCCTGCCAGCTCTCCTGACCTGAAACCCATAGAGAATCTGTGGGATATTGTGAAGAGAAAGTTGAGAGACGCAAGACCCAACACTCTGGATGAGCTTAAGGCCGCTATCGAAGCATCCTGGGCCTCCATAACACCTCAGCAGTGCCACAGGCTGATTGCCTCCATGCCACGCCGCATTGAAGCAGTCATTTCTGCAAGAGGATTCCCGACCAAGTATTGACTATTGAGTGCATAACTGAACATAATTATTTAAAGGTTGACTTTTTTTTTGTATTAAAAACACTTCTTTTATTGGTCGGATGAAATATGCTAATTTTTTGAGACAGGAATTTTGGGTTTTCTTGAGCTGTATGCCAAAATCATCAGTATTAAAACAATAAAAGACCTGAAATATTTCAGTTGGTGTGCAATGAATCTAAAATATATGAAAGTTTAATTTTTATCATTACATTATGGAAAATAATGAACTTTCACAATATGCTAATTTTTTGAGAAGGACCTGTATATATATATATATATATATATATATATATATATATACTCCAAATAAATTCCTTTAAATGAATGCCTTATCTACTGTAAAACATTTTTTTTAAAAAGATTAAATGATAAACCTTTTTTTTTTTTTGTCATTGCTAAACACTGGATTTGAAAAACAAATGGTGTGAATGAAGCCAGCCAGCCATTAACAAAATACCTTTGCTCAAGTGAGATGTCTTCCTCTTTATTTTCACTGTTCTCATCCTCATATAAATTCAGCAGATCCTCTTCACATGACTCAAGTAACTGTCTCTCCAACTCTTTTGACCTGTGTATTAAAATTTTAAAAAATTAAAAAGTGAGTCAAGTAATTAGACATTTATTAGGGTGAGACTGTAGGCTAAATGCAGCGTGCTTCGTCTTGACAAATTCTGTCATGGCATAATCACAGGTCTGTGAGACTGACGGTATGAATGAACAACATCTGTCGATTTTACACACCCAAAGTGTTACTGTCAGCCAGAATGCCTGACATCAATACAGCAAGAGTACTTGGAAGAATAAGTGAATTAGGACTATACTATTACATTGTCAGAAGAAAACAAATGTTGTGACTGGTGTTTGGGTAGTTTTCAGCACATTACTGGTGTTTCTAGGATTGGTTCTAATATTGTCTCGGTCACTCACAGGACAGGCTTGTCTGGACAGCTGCTTAAATTGTTCAAAGTCAAAAGAACCCACCTACGTCTCTATGATAGTATAGGCTCCCTAGACAAGATTTGAGTATCTCCTTTAATGTAAACTAATGAGATTTTTCTGTGGTCTTATTGTCTACCAGGCAAAAATCACAAGTTTGATGACTGCATTGTTGATTTGAGGTATAATTCATGTCCGTAGTCCAGAGTTATGCCAGTTTAATACTTAGACTTATGAGTTTTGAAAAGTCCCTCATTCTAAATACTAGCAATGTAAAGACATGTAAAGATAGTTCGTCAAAAATGAAAATTCTGACATCATTTACTCGCCCTCATGTTGTTCCTACCCATGAGACTTAAAATTCATCTTCAGAACACAAATAAAGATATTTTTAACAAAACCTGAGATTTTAGTCCCTCCATTAAAAATCAACTCCACAAAAACTGACACTTCAAAAAGTTTATAGAGTTTGTAAAATAAATCCATATGTTGTTTAAACCAACACACATACATGTAGAGCACATCAAATTTGGTAAACATGCTTACTTGATAAGGTTTTTTCTTTGTGTATCATGCAAGTAGGTTTGAGCTTCAGTTTACCATATTTGATGTGCTCCATGTAAGGCCCTGTTTAAACCTGGTATTAAGAAACGTTTTTGTCAATCGGATCACAAGTGGGCGATGCTAAATACATGTGTAAACGGGGTCTAAAACATTTTGAGCTAGTCCACTTTCGACCTCTTCCAGAGACAGTCGAAAAACGCATTTGACCGGATTGCTTTCATAGTGTAAACCGTCATGTGGTCAAATGCGTTCGAACAACCACAAAAGACCGCCTACTGACGTAATGCGTAAACATTATGGGAAGCGCACTAGCCAAACAGGATTTAAACTTTGTCAGCTGAAGACCTAAGTTTGGTTTGAAGACGAAAAATGTACCAAGCACAATGTTCTCTCACCATTCCTGTTTTCTAACACACTCACCGCATTAGGTGTGGTTTTGTAGCTATCGGAGCAGAAACTAAATCTGCTGTTCTTCCGGGTGTTTTTCTGCCGCGTTTATCTGTAAATTATGCAAGCTTATTTTGTCCATTAGATCGAAATATCTGAAAAGGCACATACATTTACCTACCCATAGACCCTCCCCTCAAAGAAATCAGGATAGAAGTGGTCAAACGTGGACAAAAGAGATGGATTAAAACACCAGGAGTAAACGGGTATGCGTCTCCCTCGTCTACTTGTGATCTGATCAACCAAAACAAATCTTAATACCAGGTGTAAACAGGACCCAAGTGTGCTGAGCAATGTTTATGTGTGAATAAAGGTCTAAATTAAATCTGTTCATCATATAAAGTGGCCGTGTCTCTTCTGAAGATTTTTATTAAACTGCTCGATTTATATGGATTTCTTTTATGATGTCTTTATGAACTTTGTCTTTATGTTTGGTGGAATGGACTTTCAATATAAGGAGAAATATAAGGTTTTGACTAAAAATAGATTCATTTGTGTTTTAAAGATGAATGAAAGTCTTTGGGTTTGGAACGACATGAAAGCGAGTAAATGACACAATTCACATTTTAGGTGAACTATCCTTTTAATAGCAATGCTTGCCTCAGTAAACACCACTGGCATCAACATTGATAGTTTGACCTCTCAATCATTGAAATTCAAAGCACTACAGCAATCCAAGGGCTGCCAAGCTCAAAATAAGACACACTGGGAATAAGTTTAGGGGGAAAACAAAAAACAAATCAGGTTTTCAAACCAACCTCTGATATTGTTCCTTCTCTTGCAGCATCTGCTCCAGTGTATTTATATAACTAACGGCTTTGGTTTTCACTGCCTCAGGCTAATACAGATGGAGGGAGAAAAAAATAAAAAAATTTAGAAGATCAGCCATGTCAAAGATTGATTAATGGCACATGAGGTCATTATGTGTTTTTCTGAATATTCTTAGACTTACTGCAGCTTTTTTGACCGGTGTGTTGGGCTCTGAGAAAGCATCTTTTTCGGGAGTTACCGGCACACGGACACTCCAGTCCAGGATGTCCCGCAGGGATGGCAGCTGCTCATCTTCATGACTACTGCTACTGCTGCTCAGGCTGATAGCACAGCTTTCTCTCAACTCATCGCCCGAGTCGTCTCCCAGCTCAATATCTAAGGGATCTTTCCACAGGGGGGAGCACTTCTGTTCTCTTGATCCTTCTACTTTCACCGACGCAGCTGGGCCAGGCATGATAGCCTTGGGGCTGCGTGACTGCTCCACTTTCAACAGTGTTCTTTCATCCGGTTCCATCTTACATGAACTGGCTTGCTCCGCAAAGCTGGGTGATCTTAGATCAGTCTGATGGGGGGATGAACGAATTTGAACACCCTCCTCATGGCTGGACGAGGGGCTTGTGTGTGTGGAGACAGTACAAATTTCTCTCTCACCATTTGTTTTTTTGTTATGAGTTTTGGGCGATGAAAAGCAATAGTCTGGAGTAAAGAGGGTATCGATGTTATCGAACGCCGTGCTTGACTTTGGAGAGACTTTGCGTAAATGCGGTTGGCTGGGTGGAGTTTTGAGATTTTTAGGCATAACATCTTTAGGCTCTGCAGTTGTGGGTGATTTAGTGAGTTGAAATGAGTGAAGTTTGTCACTTCCCATGTTTGAGTCCTTAAAAAGCTGCTTGGGGATGGTGGATGAAGGTCTTGGTCTGTTGTTGGTGTTTGATGCGGAAGGCAGCTTTGTAGGGGACTGTTTCTCATTTATAGTTATCACTAAGTCATTGCTGGACTTCACAAAAGCACGTCTGACAAATTTTACAGGTGAGGTTACAATGGAAGAGCTGGGGGTGGGTTGGAAATCAACACATGGCCGTTTAACTTCCTTCTCACTGTCTGTACTACCCTCTCTTTTTCTCTTGGCAGTTAAGGACAGCCTGCCCTCTGTTGGCAAAAAGGGGTAATTGACAATGAACCAGTTTAGTTTGAAAAGTTATCAAATAAACAGCTGGGCAGTATCAGTAATATAACAAAGGGTAATAATCCTTACCTGGACTAGTCTTCTGTTGAGAGGTGCTCAATTCCTGTAACACAACCAAACAGGGGGAAACAGTATCAGTTCAGTATAGTTTTATTTAATGCCATTTCAACATCTGTGGCTATCTTCATGAACTGTACCTTCTCTAAGGACATGTTGCTACAATGGGAGGTTTTGTGGTCTATTTTCTCATGAGGTTGGTGAACAGAGGTTTTGGGTCTCTGCTGGAATGAGCAGGAATTATGGCTCTCAGGATTTTGCCTGTAGTGAGATGGCTGAGGAAGAGTATGTCTCCGATCCTTCACAGCTGACTGAAACAAACTTCCTCCAACCTGAACACAAAACATCAGAGCATTAATGTTCATGAAGTTAGAATCCAGTAAGCAGACAAGCTATAAAAATGACTACAATAACCAAATCCATTTTTTTAGACAAATTAATTTCCAGTACATTGGCCTTTCCAGTCAATTGTTGATGACTAGAAAAGACATTTTAAAATAAAAAGAATCATTCTGAACCATTTTGACTGATTCACTAAAAAAAAAACATTATCTTACAATAACAATTTGCTCAGAAATTGGACAAGTTTTATCATACATAATAGCAAGATAAATAGCCAATTAAATATTTTAGATCTGATCATAAATACAATAAAAATTCACAGCAAATAAAATTGCCATGATTTTTAAGATTTATTAATTTCCATCACTTTTACATCTTGGAAAACCCTATTTTAAAATTCCATAATATTTCCACGTTTTACTTGAGCGTGAGAGCCCTGAATATATTTCAAGAGTATTCATTGGTGCAGAGAACCATAAATTATTAAATTATTGAAATATTAACTTAAATTCTACAGAGGTACTTCAATTGTTTATTTATTAATTAAAAAAAAAAGTATTAATTTGTTTGGTTTTCCAGGATGTAAAAGTGATGGAAATTAATACAAATTTTAAAGTCATGGCAACCGTTTTTACAGTGATTTTTTTATTATTATTATTTATGCTCATCTCTAAAATATTCCATTAGCTATAGCTTGCGATTGTGTAGAATAAAACCTTTAGGTCAAAAGTGTTGAGCTGACAAATGTTTGGGAATCCCTGCATAAAAAACATTGTTAGAAATATAGATAACTTAAAAATGCATTAAGAAGAAATTAATAGTTGCATTTACCCTCAGGTTTTCATTCAGCTCTTTACTGAGAGCAAAAGAAAGTTCTCTGTCTCTGTTGTAAGTACTGTTCCTTCGCAGATTGTCCTTTTTAACCGTGGGATTAAGAGAGACATTCTTACTGTTGCCATGGTTTGGTTGTAGTTTTTTCAGAACAACTTTGCAATTCAGAATACCATCCTGTTCTGTTCGCTTGTTGGAGGCTTTGAGTGCAGCTGAAGTGGACTTGTCCCTCTGCTCCAGCTCAGGGTTTTCGGTGGGTGGGATGCATTTAGGCGGTGGGATGCATTTAGGCAGTGAGATCAGGAGTTTTGGAGACTTCTCAGAAGGTTCAAGACATGGACCACCTGACACAGGATGAAACGTGGCATCTAAATTGTTGCGTCGTGGTATACCAAGTGGAATAATTTCTTTTACTATAAAATAAAATAAAAACACACTGTCAGACATTCAGACAAAAAAGTGCAAAAGCAACCCCTTCATATCAACATGGAAGATGTTTTAAATGTCAGAGCCTTAAAGGTGATGATACACAGGGCAACTTTTTGAGCAATGTTGCTGGGTAATCTTGCCGAGTGATTGTTGCTTGGGCACTTTCTCGTTGAAAATAGGCAATGAATTTCTATCTGGATAATTTAGATCGGTCGTGGGCCCTGTGTCTCATCTGGTTGCCCGTTGACGGCAACATTGCCCATCAATATTGCTCAAAAAGTTGCCCTGTGTATCATCACCTTAAGATTGTTAGCTGGCACAAATCAGACAGGCAAATATTAAAGAGCATTAACATCATGACAGTTGGCTGGAATACACTACACAACTTTTTCTAAAAAAAAAATATATTTGCAGTCTGGAGGAGTCGGCGATAGATGCAGAAAGTCAAAGTCTATGCAGATTTTGGGTAGTCCAAGTTGAAAGCGTGCAGAAAATCATGTAGTGTATGATGGGCACAGACTCAAATTTTAAGCTTATTCAGAATACGATTCCATCCAGTCGAAGGATATCAAAAAAAATTTATATTTTGAGCCGATTAAAGAACAAATTTTAATTTCATTTGTCACATGTTTCTGTGCAAATTCGTTGCGTTCAGAACGACTTGAATGTCTGGTAGTGTGTGATTGCCCTTTGTTCAGTGTATGATGCCCAGTTTTTTCTATTACAAAGCTGAAAGTGTATGAAGCCTGGTGTTTTTAAGTGCCCCTATTATGCCTTTTCGACATGACCTAGCATGTAGTGTGTAATATAACCATTTGTGAATGTAAAAGGTCTGCAGATTTCTGGGGTGGCTATGCGAGACTAGGTTTAGAGAGACTGTATCCTTGATTGAACCATTTCAGACACTGTGAGATAAGAAGTGATGCTGCGATGTATATGAGAAAATTGACTTTGGATGCACAGAAATCTATTGTAGGAGACCTCCAAAACAAAATTAGGAACCTTTAAAATAGCATATAGGGTCACTTTAAAATCAGTTCCAATAATCATGTAGTGTATTCCAGGGTTCTGTCAACAAAATAGTGGAAAAAAATCTGCAAGCCAATCCATTCAACATTACCATTATACCCACCACAGCAGTAAAGCCCACAAGCAGACCAACAATGCAGATCAACAGCGGCCCAATACTCCAAGCATCCCTGTACAATATATACCACACTCGTGATCTATCTCACCCATAGAGGTAATGTGCTTCTTGAGGAAACTTGACATTTTATACAGATGAAAAACAGACAGACAGGTGTCTTTAAAAGTCTTCTGAGTGATCTGTACAAAGTAAGAAGTATCAAGTGTTAGTAGACTTAGACGCGTGCATGCAAAAACTATCATTTGTTTAGACAACCAAATCCTGTTTTGTGAAGTCTGTGCCATTACACCACAGTGCATAGTACAGCATCTCTACAGTAATAGATGAAAGAGTTTACATTTAACAGACCTGTTACATGCTTCCAGTTTTCTATCAGGTGGGCGTGTGTCTGCAAACAGAAAGGCAAATGAGGAAACTTTAGCCGCTGGTACTGGTGTAAAAAAAGGAAAAACTTTTAGCGCATCACTCTCATTTGTGTTGACTTTCACTATTTGTACATTGTAGCGTGAATGGGCGGGAACAGAACAGCTAACTTAGTTATGCTAGTCAGGTCTTGAGAAACAAAAGTACTGGCAACAGTTCGGCGTCAGTTCAAGTCTTCGACCTAGGTTGTTTTAACCGAAGTGTTTGATGTTTTATGAAAAAACCATAAACAAACAATTTCACAAAAATGCAACCGTAAGTTGGAAGACGCTACTTACCATTATGCTCCAGCACGAAGCGTGACACACAGGCAAACGAAAACAATTGTCTGATAAAACACTAACTTTATAAAAGAGCGTCTAGTTATGCAAGTTATACATGATAATACATTTTGCAAGTACATTTGTAAACCACACAGTACTAGCTGTCAAACACCGAGAGTGACGCTGACCGTACACGGCAGTTCAGTTCTGAAAAAGAATAAAATGTATTTAAAACATTACAAAATAAATTGTATGCGATGCGTACCAGCCCTTGTGGAAGTCTATTTGATACACTCCATAACCATGATGAAAGGTCTGTTTTGTGTGTCGGGAGCCGCCATCTGTAGGTAGGAGGAGCGATGCATGATGTAGTTCACGGAAACGGCCACTAGAGGGCGCTAAGATCGAGCGCCAAAATAAAAAAACAGTGCAGCAGACAGTAAAGCTACCTTTATTTCCGCAGCAAAAAAATATTTTAGATTAAAAAATATTATATAGATATATAGATATATAGATATAGGCCTATATATACTTAAAGAGTTAAATTCTTAGAATGCTCCAAAATATCACTGGAAATTATATAATATAGATTAGCCTTTATTTAGCTATTAGGATATTTCTTTTTCTTCTTTTTTTGCAGCAAATTTTACTGGTAATAAGCTTACACTTTCAAGAAAAGTGATGGTTATGCAAAAACCACTGAGTAACTGCAAAACCAGCTGTTCCCAGAAAGTGTTATTGTTAAGCATGCCTAAACAAGAGATGTGAATATAGCAGAAATCATGTGACATATAGCTTCATGGAGTCATTTAACACCTCACTAGTAGCATAAACATGAATACAAACATGAGTCTTCTGTGTCAACCCTGTAAAACCTGACATATGCCTATAAATAATAGTCAGGAAAAAAGTTTAAATGGAACTTAAATCTTTAGACAAATATTATAAAAGCCTATGTCTTTTATGTTTATCAGGTTTTTATGGCCCATATGTTACAGTGAGGAAAAGGACCTCACTGGAGGATGAAAAACACATTTTATTCAGAGCTGCAAACTAAGCAAAATTTAGTGCAGCTGTTGTTTTAATTGGCCTAAAAAATGAAGATGAAATTCTGATAGCTTTAATGTAAATCAGTGAGAATTTTAAAACAGTTTAGCAGGCTACTTAGCCTACATAAAATGCATGTAAATATAAGTTTTACCTCTATATCTTTCAATAATCATCATAATGATATTGCAATGCTTTTTATGATCAAAGCTACAGCTACTTTAAATTGTGGTGGCAAAACATATAATGCAATGAAAAACAATGATGATTGAGATTAACATCCCTCAAAAGCCTGTTGTATTATATTTGACATACATTTTAACATGATATTAAAAAAAATTGCTATTAATCAGAAAAATCTTGCGTTATTCGTTATTTTTAGCCTAATTAGTAAGCTATTAAAATAGTCTATGTCGACCAGAAGGCATGTAGAAGTTGTGTGCAACAAAGTTTTGATCATGTTGATAATTTAGAGGTCTTAGAAATCCATGTAACAAATATGACAGGCTTTGGCAAGCCGTTTTAACTTTTATTCATTTCCAGGATATGAATCCTTGATATCAACAATTACATTTTCACTAGTTAAAATGATAATTATTGATATCAGGAATAATATTTCTACTAGTAACAATGGCAATTTTGGATATCAGGAATTACATTTTCACTATAACAATGCTAATTCTTGATATCAACATTTACATTTTCACTATAGTTAAAATGATAATTCTTGATATCAACAATTGAATTTCAACTAGTTAAAACTATAATTCTTGATATCTGTAATTGTATTTTCACTAGTGAAATGTCACCATAGGCTGCCATTCAAAATCAATTCTTGATATCAACAATTGATTTCTTACTAGTTGAAATTCCAATTTCACATGTCAGAAATACAATTCTTATAAAAACCTTTATTTTTGATATCAAGAATAAATTGACACTAGTTGAAATGTCTATTCTTGATATCAACAATTCACTAGTGACAATGTTAATTTCTGATATCATGAATGTGATTGTTACTAGTAAGAAAGTCATTTTAAATATCTGAAATAATATTGATATCAGAAATACATTTTCAGATATCAAAAATGAAATTTTTTACTAGTAGCAATTCAGTTGTTGATATCAAGAATATACATTTAGACTAGTGACAATTTAATTATTGATATCAGGAATTCGCATTTTTACTAGTAACAATGTAATTATTGATATCAAAAATTATATTTCTACTAGTAAGAAATCAATTCTTGATATCAACAATTGATTTTGAATGGCAGCCTATGGTGACATTTCACTAGTGAAAATACAATTGTTGATATCAAGAATTACATTTTTTATATCAATAATTCAATTGTTGATTTCAAGAATTCAATTGTTGATATCAAGAATTCAATTGTTGATATCAAAAATTTAATTGTTGATATCAAAAAATGTAATTGTTGATATCAAAAATGTAATTCTTGATATCAACAATTCATATCCTGGAAATAAATAAAAGTTAAAATGGCTTGCCATAGGCTTTATAGGGTTAAAACTTTTCTTGACAACAGAATCACGGTCCGCGCGACGTCTATTCGACAATATACGGTATTGTGGCGGCAGTCTGGTATTATGTTACGAAGCGTTCTTCCAATATCTGACTTTTAAATTCTGCTGACTTGGACACAAATATTGAAGAAGGAATATGCTTATGCAAAGCGTACACATTTGTGCTGCAATAATACTTTGCATTACACACCAGTGTCTTTCATCTGAAAATCAGACTGTCAGTAATAATGTTAAATCTGAATCGAACGATTTAAAGTCAATATTTAATCTGACTGGAAATGTTACTAAAAGTTTGGACAAAGCAACCCCTGCTGAAAACCACACCAAAGCGCAGAGGAATACCAGTGAAGATGGAGAACAGATGAACAAAGAGACATATGGAGTAAAACCAGGCGAGTTCATTATTAATCGGAGAGTTGAGGGAAGTAAATTCAGAACAGTTTTCTTTAAATGTCCTTTTATGTACGGCGTTATAACACTTCCCCCTTAAATTAACTATTAGGCCTATATTTTTTTATGTTAAAGTGATATTTTAAATTTAAATATAAACTTCAACATTTACTCACCCACATTTCGTGCACTTTTCTTCTTCTTCTTCTTCTGTGGAACATAGAAGATATTTAAAGAAATGTGTCATTTTTGTGTCAAGTCAATGGTAGTATTTAAAACCATTGGTTACCAACATTCTTCAAAATATCGTCTTTAATGTTTGCTATGTTTCACAGCAGAAAGAAAGTCACACAAGTTTGGAGTGGTATTATTAGTTATAGAAATTAGTTCAAGAACGAGTGGGAATACAGGAATACTTAAGCAACAAACATAATGTTGATTCACCAGGCTTTGTTTTAAGCAACAATAGTGAATCAGTGTGATAATGTGTTTGCTCAGCATTCCTGTATTCCCACCAGTTCTTGAATTCATTTCAAAAGTGCACCAAATGAAACTCCTGGAGAAGAGAGAGAAATTGTTGCATACACTCTTAAAAATAAAAGGTTCTTTATTGGCACTGATGGTTCCATGAAGAACATCCATGGAACTTTTCCACTGCACAAAAGGTTCTTTATTGTGGAATAAGGTTCTTTAGATTAATAAAATGTTCTTCACGTTTTAGAAAATGGTTCTTTTAGGACCTGATCACTGAAATGTTTTTTTTTTTCAGAACTTATAATGTTTTGCTTTGAAAACACCTTTTTTTAAGAGTGTACTTCCATGTGATTCTTCACAGCACATGTACTGTTATTATCATTCACTCAAACATTCTTAAGCTCCTCTCTGGCTTAATAAGCAACTGTTCATCATCAGCTTTAAATGTGTTTGTCTGAATCTCAATCAGGTTGTCCACCACTGGGCTTGGAGTCTCTGAAAGTCTCTGATGATCAGCTGCAGTCTTCCTCAGATTTGAGTTTCGGGCTCGGCCCTCACAGAGGACGCCTTAATATACAGGTCACTGTGTGTGTTTGTTTAAGAAAATTTTGAAGATATTTTCGAAGTAGCATGTTATGAATTTGCATACGTGTGTTTGTAGTCCGGTCTGGAGGATGATGATGAGTATGACGGAGCGTGGTGTGCTGGGGTGAAGGATCAGGAACAGTGGTTGCAGTTGGATGCTCTCAGACTGACACTCTTTACTGGCGTCATCCTCCAGGGCCGAAACTCTATCTGGAGGTCATTGTGTGTCTTTGATCATTATTGTCATCATCGTTGTCATCATTCATATTACACACATTTTAGTACTTGCAAAATAGTGGGACTCTGTTGAAATTACTATATTAAACTAAAATGCATAATTGAGTTGTTTTAATTGAAAGCAACTTGCACTGACTCAAGATGCACACCAGTAATGTTTTTTTCTAAGGCACGTTTATAAAAGCGACTTAATTGTCCTAATTGAACTAATGTGTAAATGTGTAATTACAAATATACTCAAATACATGACATACAATTTTCAATAGAAATTACATTTAAGTATATTTTAGTTTACCATAAATGCTTGTCAGTATTTGCAGTACACATCTACAAAGACAATAGAAGTAATTATGAAATTAAAAGATGTACTTAAGTCCTACATTGCATTCAGTTCACACTTTAGTTTATTATTTTAAAGTATATTATTTCCACAATAAATACTCTTTTCAAAAGTATGCTAAAGTGTACTTGTTTTTCACAAGAGTCAGCTTTTACAGGATGTTTGCAAATCAAACCTATTATTTTCATCATATTTGTCTTACCAAAAATCTTTATTTGTGTGTGTGTAGCTTGAACTGGGTCCGCACGTATAAGGTGCAGTTCAGTAATGACTCATCGTTCTGGCAGCCCTGCATGAATGGATCAGAGGAGGCCGTAAGTTTATAAGTGCTGCTAACCTACATTTGTTAAATCTGGACCATTAAGCTTCCCTGTAAGATAGGGCTAAGAAGTCGAGGAGCATATAAATATTTTAAGTCAAAGTGAATTTTCCGCATGTGCCATATTTTTTTTCTTTTCTGTATGTGTGGTAGATTGTCTCTGCTCATCTCAGAATCTCTGTGCAGGTGTTTGTCGGGAATGAAGATTTGGAGACGCCAGTTTTGGCTCTGTTTCCTGAGCCTTCAGTGGCCCAGTACATTCGCATTAACCCACAGACCTGGTTCAGCAATGGCACCATTTGTCTCCGGGCAGAAGTGCTGGGTTGCCCAATGCCAGGTTCTATATTTCACTACTGTACTTTGAAATATTTGGGTCAAGACCATGGCATGTAAAAACTAGGTTTTGCCAATATGTAGATGTATATATATATAA